TTGGAAGGGACTTGTGGAAATCATTGAATCCAACGCCTTGCGAAAGAAATCCCCTACAGCAGGTCATGCAGGAAAGCTTCCAGACAGGTCTTGAATATCTCTGGAGAAGGAAACTCCACAACTGCTCTTCACACACCCTGTGTGAAGGTTTTGCTCATGTTCATATGCAAATTCCTGTGTTCCAGTTTTTGAACATTGCCACTTGTTCTGTCATTGGGCACCACTGAAAAGAGCCCAGCCCCATCTTCTTGACTCCTGCATTTTAGATATTTGCAAGTGTTGATAAGATCCACTCTCTGCCTTCTCTTATCCAGGCTGAACAGTCTCAGGTCTTTCAGTCTTTCCTCATATGAGAGATGCTTCATGTCCCTCATCATTTTGGTGGCCCTTCATTTGGCTCTGTCTAGGAGATCTCTCTCTTTCTTGAATTTGGGAACCCAGAACTGGACACAGTACTCCAGATGTGGCCTCACCAGGGCTGAGTGAGAATGGGAGAACCACCTCCCTCAATCTGCTGGCGACACCTGAGGATACCATTGGCCTTCTTGGCAGCAAAGGAACACTGCTGACTCAAGGCCAACCTTGTTGTTCACCAGGACATCCAGATCCTTCTCTGCAGAGCTACATATGAAAATTGAGCTAATGTATCTTTTTTGTCCCAAAGAAAACTCCAGAATGCTTTTCGTCCCTTCTCTCTCATTGTCAAATTCCCTATGAAATGTTACAGTTTGTAGTATTGTCTTCTTTCTTTCCTGCTGGAAAGGCCTCGTATACTGGTCATCTTTCCTTTGTTCTCTTTCTCTTGATGCATTCAAATCAAGACTATATAGCTTCCTAACACAGTTTTGCTATAGTTTAATAGGAAATTAATGTATTTAAAGAAATCCTTCTGTTGTGGTTATTAATGGTTAGGTTATTAGGTTATATACCAGACAACTCTAACTGTCCATCCTGGCCTTACTATCTGTGAAGTCTTTATCCATTACCAGCAGATATAAAGCTGCCTTCAGCATGAAGTGGTGGCAGTTCATAGAATCATAGAATGTGTGGGGTTAGAAGGGACTTGAAAGCTCATTCTGTTCCAAACTCCTGCTGTGGGCAGGGCTGCCATTCACTGGATCAGGCTGCCCATTGTCCAGTTCCTCAGTGTGTGCCTGAGGAGCTGATGCTGTGGCCTGGCCTCATGCTGGCACTCAGCAAGAGCGTGTGTATGCAGACCCTTGTGGGTTCCAGTCCTGCAGGAATTTTCAGAACATACTCCATCCTCTGTTGACAAGCAGGGAGTCCTTCTGCCAGTGCAGCCTGAATATATGGATACAATGAGTGTCATTGCATCAAGCATCAGAAGCAAATGAGTAAAGAGAAAGGTGCTCTGGGTTCTTCTTTTGCATGCTGTCACAGGAAGCAAATTGCCTGCAATTGTTGATTTGTTAAAAATGCACTGGTGAGAAATGACACTTGTTCCTTTTTCTGAAATCTAGCAAACATTTTCTGCCCATGATGCTGAGGAAGGCATGCTAGCCATGCCTATGGGCTCATCAGACATCAGGAATGGCTAGCGGCTTGTTGAGGTTTGTTAACCTCTTGGCATCAACACAGCAAACTACACGTGCTCAGCAAGAAATAGCCAGCACTTTGCCCTAACTCAGAGGGATGAGCATGCTGAGCAAAGAGTCTGGGCAAGACTCACGTGTAGGCCTTATTTCAGCAAGCGAAAGTGCTGAACCAATAACAACACGATGCTGTTGGCATCGTACTAATGAACCGGCCTCGCTGATGCTAGCGCTCTCAGGTTTTGGCTCCTGGACATGGGACCATGTATTAGAGAGCTGAGCCCATGATGCCATGATATCTGATGACTTGGCGTTGCCTCTGTAAGCTGGGACTGCTGTGCTGATAACCACAGGGGTCCAGGCTGCCACATAGCTGGAGACCTTTAATTAGTGGCCCTCATCCTCAGTCAGCAGAGAATACTGCAAAATTCATGGCTACATAAGCCTTGGAAGGTCTTTGCTTCTATTAAAGAGATTAATAAGGGCAGTATAGAAAGTGAAAACCTGTTACATCTCCTGATTTGTTTGTGTTTTCAGTGTTCCATTTTATTGTGTAAGATCTGTCCTCCCAACTTCATGAGCTGAAGGAGCCTGATTTGCTCCTTTTTATACCACTTCTTGCATCTACAGCCAAATGCAGCTCCTGACATCAGGCAGAGGCATATCAGAGCAGCTGAGGAACAGGAGAGTGAGACTGAGCATAGAAGTCCTTAGAGAAACTCACTCTCAAAGAGGAGCAAAGAAAAACAGCTCTTCTTCCCCAGTCTGAGGGTGTTTTTTCACTATGTCCATGAGGGTCTTACCTGAGTGGGAAAATCTGGAAAAGAGTAGAGGGAAAAAAACCCTCAAACGTGATTATGCTTCTCAAACAAGTTATTTGTAGATTAAGATTTATTTCATTTCCTCCAATAGAAGCCAGGGGAAGGTAATTTCTTTTCCCTCTGTTTTCCACAGGTTTCAGTCTCTTCCCATTCCTAGTAAACATTTATATGAGTCTGTAAAAAGACATTTGGGAGGCTCCCAGGTTGTCACTATTCAATTAGCATTTAGTATTACAGTCTTCCCTTTGCAAATTAAAACTCTGTGGTTTCCATAGTGATTTAAACAAGATGAGAATCTGAGTGAAGAGAAGCTGACATAAGTGAAGATAAGCTGAAAGCAATGTAGATATTTGTGATGTGGGTTGGGTTTTTTTTTCGTTTTTTTTTTTCCCTTCCTAAAGAACATTTTGAAGAACAGATTTGAAAGTTATCCTCACTTGAAAGATGCCTGGCAATGCCTGGGCAGATAAATCTGGATGTGAAACTGTTTTGGGTGCTCTTCAACCCAGAGATTTGGGGTGAGCAGGAGTGCGGTGTTTTGCTAGGTGAGCCGATGTTTTTGTGTAATGTGACATTTAAATGGTTTAGTTTACAGCATGTTTGTTCAATGCCTACATTCACATGTACTCCTTTAGAAGAGGAAAACCCTGATCAAAGTTTGGTTGCTTCTGCAGATGGAGTATCACTGATGCAAAAGCTTGCATTCTGTACTGCGGAAGCGAGCCCTCCTCTCCTCCGAGCCATACTTCCTCTGCATATCTAGAATTTCAGTGAGGGAAGAAGTCTTGTCCAGTGTTTCTCCTAAAGCACTGCCACTTAATGATCCCTGAGACAGGTTCTTCTCTGCCAGCTGTCCTCATTCCTGCTGCTTCTTAGCTGCAAGAGGAGTTGCATGCTTAGAGCCCCTCGTTGAGCTGTTGGCATTCATAACACCACGTTAGTGAGTGCACTGAAGTTTTCATAACTGGCCCACTTATTTGGTAAGGTGGTTAGGCTGGCCAGGGCACTGCAGCAAGGACATACCTATTATAGAGGAATCCTTGCCCTGTAGCAGACAGAATGATGCAATTTTTTTTCCCCATGACAACAAAGGAATGTGGCTAAAATCTGCTGTAATAACTTATGTACATCTCTATTGCTCTGATAGACTCACAACAGCATTTTGCATGAGATTCTATACAGTGTGTGGGTAATAGGACAAATTAGATATTCCAGCTGCAAAAACACAGAGTGCAGAGAATGACGTGCAGTTCAGCTGCACAAATACAGCGTTCGTGTGATACTGCGTTCAACCCACTTCCTCCATGAGATTTCCTCTAGGTCAGTGTAGAAGAGGTGGCCATTGCCTGGGTAGTGGGATGCTCACCTTCTGACAGCTGCCAGTTGGGTGCTTGCAGTGAAACTCAAACTGAAACAAAAAAAGCTGGGCTACCAAAAGAAGTTAATAGAAAGAAGCGCAGCTGGATTTGCTTTGGTTGTATTTTTTCTTTTTTCTTTTTTATTTTTTTTTTCCTTTGAGTGAATAACAATAAATACCCATAAATATCTTTTCTAATTTCATTTAGTTGTCGTTTAAAGGGGTACTTCCACAACTTAATAACTGGTTGTTTCACTTGGGTCCACTTCGAATTTCGGTATACATTTCATCTGGCTTTATACATTTCCCTAACTATCACCACCATCTACATCTTTCACCCTGGCGGATCCACTGAGTATCACAGCCCGCTGTAAGAGGAGTTCATTTCTTCAGCCATAGTTTGGCACGTGCACATATATGGAACTGTGGTTACATACTTGCATCACTCAGAATTGAGCAGAGTATTAAGACTTCCTGGAAGTGGTTTGCTTTTGTTATCACCAGTGCTGCTGGTAGCTGGCAATGGCAACATGCAAAACACTGGCCCTGACGTTTCCAACCCCAGCACCACATGTTGCTGAAATTCTGGAGAGTGCTTAAACAGCAGCTTAAAAAGGTATGTTTGTAAGCGAGAGGGAAGTCCTCAGGTTATTACTCAATCAAAGTTTATGAGATTTTTATCCTTATTATGTAATAATTAAAACAGCACAAAGGACACACTCAGAGAATCTCAACTGGATTTATTGCTAGGGCAAAAAAAGTCCTTTTGCAGCAAATAAGCTGAAAGAAGCCATGGAGATGCTGTGTGATTTAATTTTTTCCTAATCCGGTACATCCTACATTCTAATCAAAGCATGCCTTTGCATTATGACTGTCAACTAGTGCACATCATTAATTTAACAATACAAATTGAGCAACCTGAGCAACAACTCTTAAGATAACAATACAAAAATACCCTTGCAGAAAAACTCAGTTTGCTCACTATTTAGTTAACGTGTGAAAATTCAGAGATCTGTGCTCAGTTTCTGTGTGCACATAAGTAACTGCTTGCTCTGAGGCAGACCCCTTTAGTTGCATTACCCTGAGAAGCAGCAACCCAATTATGGTTCATGTTCAGACCATCCTACCTGATTGATGTCACTTGATCTTTTCCTTTCTCTTTCACTGTTTTTTTTTAAAGCTATTATGCACTCGCATGTCCCATTTACCTCAGCTGCAGAATAGCCAGGAAATTGCAAAACGCTGTTATTAAAACTCTGAATTAATATCCCATTGGCAGTACTAATGGAGGAGCCAGGGCCAGAACAGCGGTATAGATGGAGCTGCTGTCTGATTTACTGCATCCAGTGAAGACGATTCTCACAGGTTAGAGGTGAGCTGCCTTTGAAGGAGAGCATGAGAGCAGTGTGCACATTTGTGCTGCCTTTGTCTGTAACGGTCAGAGTTATTTTATGGCCTAAGGTCTAGGGGATTAGGGAGAATTCAAAACCAGATGAGAAGGAAACCAGATATGCTAGCAGGTCCATCAAGAGCATAGTCTGATTTTGATTATGGGAAGCGTGCCAGTGGGGTGAGCAGAGTAGAGGGGGGTTTGGTACAGTCTGAATTTAGAATTTTCAAGGAAACCAGATCACAGTGACAGGTTTGGTCCAGAAACTTGAAGAGATGAGGGTAAGAGATGTCTTGCTGGGTCTTGTGTGTCTGCTAGCTGTAAATAGGGGGATGAAAACGGTGTTTTTAAGAGTTCTGAAAAGGCACAAAGAACCACTTTGTCCCTAGGGACAAATGTGACAACTGATGCAGTATCGACAAAGTCTGTCCTGCAAGTAAACGCATTTCAGATGGCTTTGGTTTAGCAGGACGATATCCGTATCTCCCAGTTCTTTAAAGCTCAGAGTGCTGCTTATGTCTCTTTAAGGGACTTTGCCAAGAGCCCTCTGCATCCCTGCAACATGCTGTGGCCAGGGAGGGTTTCCTCACAGCCAGAGCCAGCACTGGAGCTGAGCTCTGTGCAGTCTCACATGTATCCTTGTATCCTTGAGAGCTCTTCAAGAGGGAGAGTAGAGCTGAGCCACTGATTAAACCACCTCATAGAGCCTATAATTCAGTTTGGGGGATTGTTGTTGTTTTCATTCTTTTCCCTACTTAACTTGATTCTGCTGCAGCTGCAATAGTTAATGATGTGTTGAAAATTGAGCTATTATTTAACATAGGGGAAAAATGCCTTCCCTCTCCTGGCTCCCCATGGGCTCCCCAAGTCACTCGAATGGATCCAAAGGGGAGGAGGTTTGACTGTTAGCTCAAGCAGCGTAGCTTGATGAACAAAGTTTGGGAGTTTCATAAACAAATATCTCGGCAGCTGCGTCCCACCCAGGTCGGTGATGGGAGGACAAACTGTAGCTCTGAGATTTGGCTGGAGATCTCATGGTTACTGTGCTCCTGGCTTTTCTCTGCAGTAAGTGGAACCACAAGCATTTTCATGCATGCAAAAAGGGACTTTCAGTTTAGGATAAAGCCATTTGCTTTGCTTTGTGTTTGGCAACAAAGGTGTTGACATTTGTCTTGTCTTATTTTATTGTGTTCAGTCACAGCTGTAGACATTCTCCAAACTAGTTATTGGTCACAAATAAACATAGACGTGTAAGACATTTGCTAGCTAACATGTTTACTTTTCCAGTGTGAAGCTAATGAGTGACATCATTCCTTAGCAGCTGTCCTAGTTGCTCCCTCAAGGAACACATCTTGAGATAGAAAAAAAGAGACCAAAATCCTATAGAATAATACCAAACATATACATTTAGCTGAGTAATTAATTGAAATAATATATGATTCATTTCAGCAAGATCACGAGTGAATCAGAATCTTGGACATCCTGTCCTATGCAAAGAGCCCTGGGAATGTTTGTTTAAGTGGGAAACATGCTCTGCAAGGAAATTGGTAACGAGGGACCTCAGGAGTTCAAAGCTAAAATCCCGCAGAAGAAATACCAAAGCCCAAGGCCATGCCCTTAATTGGCATACACCATTGGTTACAACCTGTGTACATCAAAGATCTGTCTCTCAATGCTTGTTCAAATTATTTGATCTTCTTGAGCTTGCAGAAACTGACGTAAATTGATTTTAGTCTGTAAGAACTTCAGTCTCTTCAAGTTCCAATGGCAGATAAAATAACAATAGAAAAATGGCCAGCTGGTTTTAGTCGTCTGGAAACAAAAAGGATAAAGATGTGTCTAAGTGTAGAAGAAATTGTCAAAACATTTAAATATATATATTTAAGATTAAATCAAAATTGCTTATCTCATATCACCAAAGGCTCCAGAGAAAGAGATCTCCAGAGCTATTTTATTGCAGCAGCAATCAGTTAAGGGCTAACTCTTTATTTGGCAGTGGAAGCTAACTCTTTTGTTTGGAAGCAGTTTCAGCTGTGTTTGTGAGAGTTGAATAACAATAATTTTTTTCAACATGCATGTTTTCTGCATCTGAGAGATAACATTTAACCAAAAAATGACACAAGGAGGTATCTCCGGAACCCACAAGTGAGGTACTGTATCCCATTTACAGCATGCTCTGGGGCAACTTGTCAACAGAATTGCTTCTCTCAGCAATGTCTAGTAGAGCTGCAGACAGAAAATCCCAAAGAAACATCAGCTACGCCTAAAATAACAACAACAAAAAGTCATTCTCAAGCTATTTCTGAAGGAGATATCTACTTCTCCAATTGTAGGGCAATAAAGCTGTCATAGACTCGAGCAGCCAGTTGGCCCCAGAATGCAGCAGTTCTGACCTTTGTGTTTGCATAAGTCGGATGTAGAACTTGTAGTACAAGCATCTCCGAGAGCAAGAGCTGAGGTGGTCAACTGTGGTTGAGCAATGCTTTTCTAATATCTTATTTCCTTGCAATGTAGGGGAAGTACCGAACACAGTGAGAAGCATAATTCTCTGCTGAAAATATCCAAGTTGTTCGTGATCAGGGACAGCCTCAGTAGTATGGTCATTCCCCACAGCACACTGGAGTACAGCAACAGCTATTGAGGAAGCTGAAGGGGATAACAAGAGCTATGCTTAAGGGCTATCTGTTGAATAACCTTGGCCTTAAACTTTGCAGCAATGTAGGTAACTGTAGCGGGCTTTTCTGTCACTCATTTGTCTTCGTGGGAAAATGGTGAGCCCTTGAAGAGCCCTTGGATCTATGAGCATAGCTCAGTTACTCTCCTGTGCTCATACTCCCTACCTCCAGTTAGCTGCCCTTCAAAATTACATGCACCATAAAACAGAGCAGGAGAAGTCATTGTTAGCTTGCATTTTTAATGGACAAAACCTTTTGTTCATCAATTTTTTGGTGGAAGTATCTGTGATTGGAATGAACCACCCCAGAGTCGCCCTGAAGTGCTTCAATGTAATGATTTGGCACCAGTGTCTGGCTGGTTATATTGACTCCCAAGGAGGTTTTCAGTCCTAGTTTCCCCAGTTAACGCTTGTTAACAGTGTCTACAAGACTCTGCCTATCTGGAAGCTTGTGTAAAATGAACTGGTGTCACAACACCATTTCTAGTAGACCTCATCATATGAGGAATATGAGCAGCATTTGTGTCCCAGAAGCCTTTCTACAGTGTGAACTCAATCTCAATTGCTGCTAGTTTCCTTGCTTTATATTACCCCACATACAGCTATTCAAAATTACTATGTATTTAGTGTGCCTGGTTAGACATCCTTTGATAGGACAAAAATAAGTATTTAAAAAAGAGGAAGGAAAACCCTGTACTTAATAATCTGATTCTCATGTCAATATTAAGGTATCAATATGTTTCATCAGTACTCTGTTTAGCAGCTTTGCAGAGCTGGAACAATTTAAGCCCACAACAAATATACAGCCTTAAAAGGGACGTAGCAAATGTTAACCAAACTGGTTTCCCCCTTGCTTCTGTGGCACTGATTTGAAACACGTAAACCCCACCAGACTTTGTTTTTTCACTTGTAGGCAGGAAGTTTATTAAAAAGGGAAAATACATGCAGCAGGAAAAGAGAGGGCTCTGGTGCTTTCCAAGTCAGCATTTACGTGACTCGGGTTCATTTTGAGAAGAATAATTTATAGTGGTGTGAATAAATAATAGCAGTGAGTTCTGGCTGTCCAAATAGGCTACATAATACCCTGGGAAAATTTCCTCTGCTGCGTGCTAATGACTGATTGTTGGCTTTTATGTTGTGAGCCACTGTAACAAGTAAATCATCTGAAAGTAACTGACGTGCTCAGGTTTGTTTAGGCAGCACGTGTCAAACTGCATCTTCAAGTCAGTGTGAGATATGAGTTCAGTTTACTGCTGCAGTCGGTGTGGTCTGTCTGTCTGCCTTTATAAGCAGTCGCACAAGATGGGCTGCTGAACTTAAGAAAATCAATGGTTGAGTGTAATTTGTGTAGCACACATTTGCCATTTTGTCAGTGTCACTTCTTGTGGAAATAAATTTGGACATTGGTTGGGTGCCTAACTCATCTGGGATGAATGATCTAATCACGCTAATTTTAAGAGCAATGGTGAAAATAAATTCCCTCATCTATTCAATTTGTGTGCGGAGAAACATTTCCAGTCTGCCATTGCTCACGTCTTGTTGACTGCTCCTCTAGCTGTATCTGTTCAATGTAAAGCTTTCTTTTTTTCTCATTGCAGCTTTACTGAAATGACTTTATTATTATTTAATCATCCAGATGAGAGTATTGCACGCTTTCCCCCTTGCCTACCACTGCTTTTTAGCTATATGAAAAAAATTTGAGAGTTTATAATGAAAGGAAGCTATGCGAAGCGCTGTTTTCATTTTCAATTGCATCTTTTCATTGTTGGTAGCAAGTGGCCTTTTGAAAGATTGACTTATTTCTGTATCACTTGAAAAGGAAGATAAAATGCAAAATAAGAATTGGACATTGTGAATTTTTCCCTGCCCAGAGAGGCCTAAGTTGCTTGTGCAGATGACAAATTCACCTGCCTAGAATGTCTTCTTGTAACATCCAGGGACTGAGGTTTACTGTTAAACAGAGCAAGGTAGAAAGGAAGTAGTGTCTCCCTCAATTTCCAACTTTTAACAAGGGGACAATTTCTTCCATGTCACAAATGAGATTTTCTTTTCACATTTCTTCCAACTGAGTGACAGAGTGGTTTTTGGATTTTGAGCTGCTTGATGTGAACATCTGTTCTTAACTGGATTAAGAGCCCAATCCCATTACATGGAGGGTACCAAAATCTCACACAGTTACAATAATAGCTATGGGTCAATGCAGATCTGAGCCAGTCTTGAGGTGGTGACATAGATTTCAAAGGCTTCATCTTTTATTTCCAGTTCCTTGAGCCAGTCAGTTCCTTTCTTTGACAATCATCTTAGTCAAATTGGCTTTTTTTATTTTTTCCTTTCTTTTACATATCTTTATGGATTGATGAACCTACACAGTGAAGCAAGACAAGAAAGTAATCCACTGATGGTTGATAAGATGTTGTAACACTGAATATGTTTTTCACCCCTGCTTTAGTGTCTCATGAAGTGCTTGCATCCATTTAATTTGGTATTGTTCTAGCCAGTGGTACCCTATCTGCCTTTGAGTGCAACTCTAATCACATGAGGTGCCAATGCCCTAATCCAAATTCAGCATTCGGTGAGCAATTTATATGGTGGTCATATACATAACTTCTTACCATCTGTCATCCCTGTGACTTCTACTGGCCCAATGCAGTTTCCATGGTAGTCAATGGAAATTTTTGAGGCTGATTTCACAGAGCAGAACATTCAGAAAAGGAGAAAGTCACTGAAGAGCACACTTTCTTTTCCTTTCTCTGTGCTGTAGGGAAAATGCTGTAACCTCCATCTAACAGATGGCCACTGCTGTCCTCAGATTCGCTCCATATTTGTAAAGGGATGGAGAATTTTAAAACTGGGTCTTCCAAATACCAAGTTAGCAGTTTAATTCTAGTGCCATCCAAGAGAACAGATATGTGAGATGAAATAAAGGATAAAAGGAACAGGAAAAATCTACTAACATAGCAACATGTTCACAGATTTAGAAATGAAGATATCTCCCTTAGCAGCATGTTCTCTCTGTTTCCCTATCTCTGAAATGAGCAGACATTTCCATGGCCCTCTGTCAGAGCAGTTCTAAGTCTGAATGTTCAAAAATCACATTAAGGCTTTCCAGAAAGCAATGTGAAATAGTCACAAGTTGAGTATACAAAAATTAATATGAAATATATATATTTATATCCCTCTAAATCCTTTATGGTTATGTTTGTTTAACTAATGACATGTGTGTGATACCTGATGAATGCAAATCCTGTCTTTTCTATAGCTTTTTTTCAAAGAATCAAAGAATTAAAATATCATGTCAATCAAGGTTCCCAGATTAGTTGAATGATCATAATGAAGGGCAGAATTTGGCCTGGCATCTTGAGTATGTTGCTATCATCTGCCTCATATATCTCTAATACAAAGGCAATACGAGAGCTAGCAGTTTCAGTCCTTTTGACCCTCATAAGAGTGAGATAAAGATTTCATGAGAAGAAAGAGAGCTTCAGTATTTTGAAGTGACTTTCACAGATTTTTTGACTATCATCTTTTTCTTCTCTCTGCAGTTCATTCTTTATCTGTACCATAAAAATCACTTTCTCTCCTCTGGAGAGATTTTCCCTATCCCATGCCCTCTCTACTCTCAGTTTCTCTGACCCTCTTTTTACCTTTCTTTTCACACGGTACAAAATTTGGGTTGTTTTCAAACAAATCTGAACTTTTACTTTGTTCTGATTTTATTTGTGGCCTGAAAAACAAAGCACATTAACTTGAAACAGACACTAAGTTGCCTATGGGGGTAACTTGTAAAGTACTGATGCTTGGAAAGTTCCCAAAAGAAAACAAAGCCCAGCAGTCTTGCCTTGTTTGTAGAGCTGATGGAGATCATTGACTCCTAAACCTTTGCCATCTCCTTCCAACCAGCCTCCTAAAATAACAAATATAGGGGCTATGTCAAACAGTTATGGTCTTCTGAATCATGAGCCAGACGTAAGAGTGACATTTAGACTGTTCCTGCACATAAACATTGGTAGCTCAATTTTTGGGACAGTTCTGTCATGCACAGCAAAGCAGTGCGGATTTACTTCCACTAAGAATCTGGCCTCACGTCCCACAGTGAACAATGGAAATGATGGATCTGGAAAACAAAGCTGGCACCATGTGCAAGAACCTCTGATTATTTTTTATTGTTATTATTGTTTCTTGATGATACAGCATGCACTGAACTAGCAGCGTACTCATTTCATGTGCCTGAAATTTAATTTAGAAAGTGAAGCTGATGGAACAGGCAAAGGGACTTGAGATTGGGCTAAGGCAAAGAGTGCGATTTCTTAGTTGTGATATACCCACAACTCAGTATCTCAGGTCAGTTATGTTTTGAGTCAGCCTGTGAAGCAAATGCAAGTCAGACGCTCAATAATGTTCCCTACCATAAAGCACTGGGCAGCTCAGTGTAAACCATATCCCCTCTGGTGGATGCCAGGCATTCAAAGGTGCTTCTGATTGATTTGCATTTGAAGGAATACATGGTGAAAGTGTATTGCATATTAGATTAGTCTTGGAATCTGTCACATAAATTAGCAGTGATCTTGATTGCAAAATACTCTCATTGTTTATTTCTCCTGCATGCTTACCTCAGATACATTTGTTCATATTTGTTTGGCTTTCCTTATCATTCCTTACTCCCATCCCCGTTTTACTTTCTCATACTTACTTGGGACACCATAAAAAATGTAGTTTACCTATATAGATATGATAGATAGATATAGATATGACTGTTCATCTAAAGAAAATAACTTTTAATAGTCATATAAAAAGAAGTGCTTTATTATTGTTTATTTGCTGTATGGAGTGAATGACATCAGTAGGAAATGGGCCACTGAGCACTGAATTTCTCTCTTGCAGTAGCATAGCCCTCTGGAGTGATTCCAAAGCAGGCAATGGTTGTACATTGTTGTAACACTGATGGGTGAAGTGAGACACCAGCCCAGTGAATTTTCTATCACAGCATCCTCTGTGCAAATGTTTCATGTGCATTTACTGCTCTCAGCATTTCTTTCTCAGGCCCCAGCTATATAGAGTTACTGAAGTCATCTAGGTAATAACTTGAAAGAAAATAGACTCTGAATGAAAGATTTTGAAACTGCAATCAGCTCTTGAAAGAGGGAGTGAAATCAGGGATGAGTAACAGATGGTGATGGTGGCTAATCTTTCAGCCTATTATTTTACCATATGGGGGTCTATGCCACAGACTTTCATGCTGAAAATAAAACAGAAATTAATCATTGTGTGACAATATATTATTTAAATAACTCTGTTGCAGTGATATTTGCCTCCGTCTAGAAGCCATATGCAAGCGTATATGCTCCAAAACGAGATACAGCTGCATGTAGGCTGCTTTTGTGGTGACAGACATCATATGACTTCAGAGGAAAAATTGCTACACCACTTAGTTTACACAGAGAAAATGAATTTTCTGGCCATGCTAAGGAGACTGTGAAAGGAAACCCACATAGAAACACCCTATGGATTCTAATAGGAAATGATTACTTCTCTATGGAATTGAATAGAGAATTACATCACATGCATAGGAGTCTATAGGGTGGTTAAAAAGAGAAATGACTTCATTATGCGGACAGCCTCTCAGCTGGTCTATCTCCATTGGAGGCAAGAGTGCTCTGATGGCTGTTTTCAGCCGAGACACCTCCTTTTTGAGCCTTTGCTTCTAGCCAACTGTAGTAAATGCCTGTAGTATTATGTTTAAATCCTGTTATCCTTCATAAGTCTCTTCTACAAGAAAAATACCCCGAAGCTAGTTGTATATTTTCTGTTTCTTCTGTAAATTATTCTTTAAAATGCTATTAAGGTAAGATCAGTTCTCCAGTGACAAAACAGAATGTATGTACTAAATTTCTGTTTTATTTTCCTGGTAGCTAATTTGTCTGTGCTTATATGTGATAAGGAAAAGGGCCAGCTCCCAAATGTTTCTGGCTCCTTCTAACTCTCAGAGTGTGTTCCAGCACTCATTCAAGCTTAACTCAGTTTCACATAGGATAAAATCAATTTTAAAAGCAAATTCTGGACAATATAGGTTCAGGTGTTGTAGAATCGTGACTACAGAGAAGATAGACTCAAGATGAATCATTTATTTTGCTCCACATCTCGTGATCCAAACATGCAGGCAAAAACTCTTAAGAAGAGATCAGTGTATCTATCCTCTCACTAAGTGATCTGACCTTTTAGTTGACTGAGGCACAGAAAACTGTGCTTAAGACAGAAGATAAAATTGGCCGAAACATGTTACTAATATATAGCAGTTTGATATCAACTGCAGCCAGGAAGTCTTCATTTTAGTTTTTGCTTCAGGCATTCTTGCTCTCTTAACCAGCTGTTTGCCCCTTACCCACTAACGTGTTAATACTATAGTTAATACTATAGTTCTTTATGGTTGGTATTGCTGTCCCAAAGTTCAGTGAACAGAAGGAAATGCATGAATAAAAAAAAGGGCATTCCTGTCCTCCAGTCCCAATTTATATGCTTGCCGAGAAGCTTAATCTCTTTCATGGTTTATTCGTATTCTAGTTACACTGATTTTGTGTATAAAAAGAAGGCAGTTTTTTGTACTGTATTCTGAAAACACAACTCAGGTCTGTAACATGAGTTAGGGCCACAGCTATGCTGCATGAGAATTTGAGTTCCCATTTTCAGTTTGGTCTCAGCTTAACTGTGGATAATGTGCTGAAATGTTTATTAGATCTTGCCAGTAGCAGACTCAAAACTGTACTGGCGTATAAATAATTGTCATTAGCATTTTGAAAGTGCATCATTATTTAGTGGAGTTGGAGCAAAAGGAAGGTAGAGTTCAAAAATTAGCCAAGGATGTTTGAGAGGCTGAAGCAGAGGTAAAGGTTACAGATTTGAACATAAACTTTGTTACTTCCAAAAATTGTTTCTTACCTCTCCTTCTATTCTTCCATCTATCCCCCCAGCAAAATGGCAGACACTTTCTAACCTAAAACTGTGAGAAGGAAATGTGGGAGAAAGTCCAAAGAATACAAGTCATAATGTACAAAAAATGAATTAATCCTTGTGAAATGATTGTTCAAATTAACCTAATGTTGTGGTTAGTAGTTAAAACAGCCATGGCCATGCCCTCTTCTCATTTAACTTTCTTTTAATGCTGATCCCTGTGTGACCCAGTGTGTTTGATCAGATTTTATATTACTATTCAAAGCATAGACACATAGCAAAGTGTCTGACACTGTCTTTCAATTCAAAGAGTGCAAGTGAGTTGAACCATAAAATGGTTCCAATTAAAATAGTGCATGTTAGAAACTCTGAGATGAGTCTGAACAGTGTGTGATTGTTGTTTTTTTTTCTTGCATTCCCCACATTCTACAATGCATTCCTCTTTTTGCGCTTCTTGAACTTTTGTTTTACCTCTAGTATCCTTCTAAAACATCAATAATCATTCTACTCTGCGAATTCAGAAAGATTTCAGTATTTATTTTGGTACAATAGCAAAAGAAGTCTAGAAGAAATCATCTGCTAGCACTCAGCAATGTTTCCTGGATGATCATGTTGAGCTTTAAAGCACAGTACCACACAGAAAGTCTGATCTACTGATCTTATAGTGATGTTTTTCATTTCCCAATGGGACTCTCAATCTTTAATGTGAATCTTTTCCTTATATTTTGAGGATTTTTATATGGCTTTTTGGTTGTTTTTTGTTTTTTGGGTTTTTTTTGTTTGTTTTCCTGAAAGTATTTATGATACATACATACATAACTATATAAAGGGTTTAGAGTACTACCTGAACATTGCTTCTGATTTCTAGAGAGAAATAAAGAGGGGAAAAAATGTGTATTAATTTAAAAGAAGAGTAATGATTTGCTCACATTTCAGTATAAGCCTGCCTATTGTATTTGTGAAACATACTTGAAAAGGCAAAAGATGAAATTACAGTCGTATCATCAAAACAGACTGATTCATCATTTATATACAGCTAATTGCTTGCTACTTAACCCACTTTTTAGCTACATGTGCAGTCAGTTTCAATCTTTAAATGCTTTCTTGTTATTTCAGTAGTATCAATTTGTTCCTCAATCAGAAGGGTGTTAATTCACTGGTCAGGAGTTAAAAACAGGAAAATAGTCATTGGCAGCAGGCAGATTTCTTCCTTCCTTCCATTTGAGCAGACTCCAAATGATTAATCAAAACTAAGGATTTCATATGAACAGGAATTTTTCTGTAGTTGAGGAATCCACATTATTTAACTCAATGCATGGACTTTGTGAAGTGCCGTTTGCCACTATTATCTATTATTTATCCAGCAGCACCCCTGAATGAACTAACTCACAATTTGCTTTAACTTGTGCCACCAGAGCTTGTAGTCCAAGTGGAAAGATTCAAGCCTTCTTTCATTCAGGTAAGGAAAGTTTATTTCTTGTATGTTTATAGAGCGTTGGTTCTTCTGTGCAGTATAATCACAGACATCTTTTACTACCATGACCATGAAGTGAACTCGCATCCACTTCTAAAGGATTCCAGGCTCTTGCAGTTTGAACATGAAATTACTGCTTCTGCAGCTCTTTAAGATTATCTTATGAATTTCCTTCTATTATCTTACAGTGTATTTTAAAGCCATTTGGGACAGTTTGGCAGCTACTAATACATTGCTCTCAAAGCCAAATGAGTTTCATTTGTTAGTAGAGTTTGCTGAAGACTTGGCCTCTTCTCATTCCTGCAAAGGAAGACACTGAGCATTCAGCTATGTGATTTTGTAACTCTTCACTTGACAGTTTCAAATATGTGTTTCTGAGTTGCTTGGCCGTTTAAAACTCTCAACTCCTGAATAAAAAATTGAGCGAAACAAACTAACATGTCAGGTTGTACCTCAGCACTGTCAATCTAGAATAATCATATTGCCAATATTTGAAGTTCTGGATGGGCAGTAGGGACATTTAGATGAACAAGCCCATTGTGAGTAACTTGTCTGCTCTCTAGAGAAGTTGTATGCTCATAAAGGCAAACAGCTTGTGAGTGTATTTCTGGAGAATTACGATTCTATGTTTCAGGAAGTCTGTTTCCCATCTGTGACCTACCTACAGTTTAATAGAACATCAGTTTATGTCTCTCTGTGAAACTTTGGTGAGGTAAAGGTTCAAATACCTCTTGAGAATTTGACTTGGGCAGCAAAAACCTCTACAGGCATGTGGGCCAGGGGGCAGAGGCTGAAGAAGTCGTTGCTTACTTTCATCTTTCTGCTCAAAATTTGCTCGTGAGCACTGTCAGCATTTGTTTTTAATGAGCCTATACCTGCCTTGGAGTGGGAAGACATGCTGGGTGGAAAGCCACCGGCATGAGCACTCCAACTGAGCACTGAGCCTGGCTTTGTACACCACAATCCTTCGAAGAGCACCTGAATTGCAGTTTGAATGTCTGTGGTCCCTCAGGGGTTCTGATTCATGCAGTGTGAAAATGAAAGATGAGTTTTATAAGTGCAGGTTGATTCTTCAAGGAGCACGAGGGTCAGTTTCACAGTGCTGCATGCCACCACTTCAGTAAATCACTGTGGTTTCCAAGGGCCTCCAGCTGTGTTGAGATATTCTGTTGCCTCTCCTGGTATATTACTGGAGAGAAAGGCAGCATCTTACACAAGGACTGTGATCCTATATTGTCACAGCTCAGACTGACTATATGAAAGTATCTCTGGAATAGAAAACTTTTCAAACCAAATCTCTAGCCCTCTCTGGATTGGTGTGGCCTGAAGTTGTAGGCTGGAACAGTGAGGAATTGATCTTGTTTGCCAAAAGACAGGATTACTGTTTTTCCATTTCTGAAAATTAATAAATGAAGTTAGTTGCCAGATACTAGGATGTTTCTTTTAATTTATTTCACTGAGCCCTGACAATAGCACCTGACACTTAAAATTTTTGTGCTTTAATAGTCAAAACTTGCAGAAATCAACAGAATATTTTAAACAAAGAGGTGATTGTTTTTAAAGGCAGTAGATGCACAGTAGCAATAGTTTCCATGTCTCTGTCTCTTGTGTTAATGTAAAATCTAATTTTCTAACTTTAAATCCGTTTTGCCTCTTTAATCTCTGTAAAATTTCTAGTGTTGACCTCTACTTCTTGCGTAATTAGTGCTAATGAAAATCTTAAATGCCTCATTGAATTGGAAAGCTATTAAACACATGTCATTCAGCCTCAACTCTGAATTCCCCATTGTCTTTGGTACACTTTTCCTTATAGTGACAAGCTATGAGTGTTAACATACTGTCTGCATTGGAGAATCAATTGAGCTACTGACTACAGGTGGAGGTTGAATAAAAACTTCATCCTAAATTGCCCATTGGATCTTCATTTGTTAGTAATACGCTAGCAAAGGCAAGATTTTCTGGAAAAAGGGAAGAAAAATGCAACTGATCTTTTATCCTCTTTCTCCCTTTTCCACAACCAGCATAGCCTTTTAGAGCTTAACATGTTTAAGTCTGATCTGGGTGAGGGCTATATCTAAGGAATGAGAAGCAAATAAAACATAAGATGTGCAAGCAACATTTTCATGAAGCTGCCTTCATTTCAATGATTTTGGCAGGGCTGAAGTCAGTATGAGACGTGGCCCAAAATGTTTTCTTAGCCATTACTGCTTTGGAATTGGAGCAAACTGCAGACTTGTTCTGCAGAAAATTAAGACTTGAGTCTTGGGTCTGTATCCAAAAGTTTTAGTTTCTTTTGCCTTTTATTAAATGGATGTTCAGACATTATTTCCAGGCTCCAAAGCTGAGTGAAAGAGTGGTCTGTGGTTAAAGCATTTATGTGTGGCCTTCAAGAGCCTGTTCTGCCACTCTACAGATGTTGCATGTGACCTTTGCTGTGCTACTCCTTCTCTCTGTACCTCAGTTTCCCATTCATTTAAGATTATTCTTCACTGCTTCTGGGAATATTGTAAGGATGAATAAGTTAAGACAGGTGTGTGAGCTTTTCTGAATGGTGCTATTAAAAAAAAAGAGTTGAGAGCTGGTAGTTGGAAGAGACTGTTATGGTACAAAAGAAAAACCCTTACTTCATTTTTCGCCCACTTGGGGAGGTTTTTTTTTTCACTCTCATAAAATATGACTGGTTTTTGAACATGACTCCTGCTGTTGCTAAAACACTTTATTCTTGGTCTGATTCCCAAATGAGAAGATAGGAATGATGATGACCAATGGGTGTTACTGGTCTCATATGTAGCTGAAAGAATGAGTGGAAGATAAGAAAATGGCTGAAGCTATGAGAACTGATTCTCACAGATTCTTCAAGAAGTGGGCAGGTAGAGAGTGTAACCCTCTTCCCTTTCAAGTAATAGAAATGAAAAATCACGAATGTCTGTAGAAGTAAAGCCTCCTCTTGTTTTTTTATTTTTTTGAAGGAAAAAAGTACCTCAGGAAGGATTTGCTGAGGAACTTGCTTTCAATTTAACTGCGTGACCAGACAAGATCAAAGGAAATTAGCTGAGACAGGAGGGAGACAAACAGACAGAATGTCTGACTGACTCCACGATTTAGAGAAAAATTATAAACTGTAAGAGAAATACTGAGGACATCTCTGAAGACTGTGCCATAAACCCAAGGATGCTCCACTTTGTTGAGGAAACAGAAACAGATGTGCTGATTTTATTGATCCACAGCCTAATATCTCACATACATATAAGAGTCTTTTCTTGAAGACACCTTCACAGAGACAGTTTGGATCCCTTGACTCTCATTTTGCCCTGAAGGATTGTTTCTAAGCCTAGGGTACACAGAAGTGCAAGGCCTGGCTTTGGGGTGTGTAAGCTTCAGGCGTGGAATCAGTTGTAGCTGGATCATTGGGGCCCCACGTAGTAACTCTGATCCCATTTCCATGAAGGCAGCATTACCCATGAGGGGTAGGTGGCAGGCTCTGGGAGGACTGTGGACACGAAAAACAGGACACATTAATCCACAAGAGAGCAATACTGTATGCTGGAGCAGGCTGAGGCACATATCGGATGATGGCAGCAGCAGTTCTCCCTGTGTGGTGGGATGCCAGGGCACCTTGTGTCATGCTTTTACTGCACAGCAACCCCTGGATCTAATTCAGTTTTGTCTGGCTCTTAGGAGGAAACAGTCCTTCTAACTCTGGCTGGCCACGCACTTCTTGCTCTCATCTGACTCGTCTGCCACCTCACCACTGCTGGGTTCTCCAGCCCCATGAATTCCACTGTATGGACTGCAATCTGTTCTTCACTCGAGAATCTCAATTTTTTTTGGAAAAGAAATGCATTTTTGGCCTCTGTGGCTTCAGAAAAAAATCTTAAATATGTGAACTTTCCATAATGCGAAAGAGGGTGGACAGATACAGTGCCAAGATTTATTATTTTTAAGTCCGAGGCATACTTTTTAGTATAACTTAGAAATTTTGAACCTTGACTTTTTTTTTTTTTTTTTTTTTTTTTTTTTTTTTTTTTGTATGTGTATGTGTATCTGGAGCTGTATTGTGGAAGTGAAAGGAATTATTTCTGGTAAACAAAGTGTGCACTTCTGGCATCTGGATTTTGGGAGAGTTTCTAATCTCAAATTTCCTTTGTGTCAGCTCATGTAACCAGAATTACTAGAATCTCATCCCTCTTATCCCAACCTTCTGTTTGTCATCTATATAGAACTCTGAAATTCCAAACATGCTGGTGTGAAAAGACTGTGCAAGTCCTCTGGTTGCAAGAAAATCTTTTTATTTGTGGGATTTTTTGTCTTTTCTGATCAGGTGCACAGCACAAGCCTGGTTCCCACAGCTGAGAGGAAGCTGTTTCTTGGTGTTCACTCTCCTGGGCAGCAATTACAATTTGTCAGGAATGCAGTTTATTTTGTAATTCAGCATTTCCCCATAGCACAATTGTGTAACACCTATGCAAATATTTGTTCCTATTAAACTGTTGGAAAAAATAAAACATGGTGGAGTTCAGAACAGTTGCAGCCTAAGTTAGTTATAGGAACAAACCTTTTCTTCCATTGTCCTTGAACCTGGTCCAGCTGTGATTGAAATTGTCAGTATGACTCCCACTGACTTCTGTAGGAATAATTCCAGACCTTAAATACTTGTAGTTCCTGGCAGGTGCTATATTGGCAGTGGTCATCTATTTACATATTCACATGGAATATTAGAGATAAAACAGGGCTGTCTTCATTGCTTAAGTACAAATCTTGAGGGACAACAGCTGGACGTCAAATGGACATCGGTTGCTGTGCTGCTGCAATCACTGGTTTCTCTGATTAAATGCTGTTAATGGAACCAAAGTATTGTTTTTATTTTTATTTTTTCTTCTGATTAATTCTGTATTTTATCCATTTATAGTGTTAGGCTAAGGTAATTAACACCATCTCTTACCCACTCTCATGCAATCATGAGGTAAGAAGAGGTTAATGTGACAGATCCAGCAGCAGTGCTTTTTTTGCTTTCTGGGTCTTATTGAAGTCTTTAAGAGTAAACACTTAGAGCAAGCAAAATACGTGATATTTGTTACTTGCAGTCCAGGGACCCTGAGGCTGGCCAGACACAATGAGGGGTCGTAAAGTGGTTTCTTCCTTTCTATGTAAATATGGAAGGGGCTGATCTTTGTGTAGTTTGGGCTTGGGTGTGTTATTTTTAGATTTTAGGACTTTCTGAAAAATAATGAGCACAAAGTGTCCCAGGGAGAAAAGCAATGTTGGTTTGTTTGGTGTTTTTTTTTAAAGGAACAGAGAGGATTTCACATGATCATTGGGCAGTTGTAGTATTATGAAAAACAGCAATAAAAAGAAAGAAAACAGGAATGTAGAGAAAGCAGATGTAACTTTTCCCCCACATTCTTTTTTTATTTCATTTGGAGGGAAAAAAAGACCAGGATAAGAAATAATGCAGGAAGTATTTTTTTATTGAATGTTCATAGTCTGATAGTAAAGAATGAGGTGATTATTAAAATGTAGGCTTTCCTATATGGAAATTAGGTGATCGTATGTCTATCCCCACCAGGATGCAATGTGGTTGAAATGACTGTCAAACTATTTACTCAGTGATAGCTCTTACTTAAGCTGCCACTGGTAGAGAACTCCATGCATTACATCCCTCAGGCTGCCACACGGTACATGAAAAAAACAGGTGGAAATGCAGACTCAAAGAAAATTAAAATAGAATAAATTTTTATGAAGACTGTAGGATGTAAGCTCATGTTTTGAGTGGATTGGATGAAATATCTGAAATGTATTTTGGTAAATAATTCAACGTAATTCATTTAACTGGAAAAAAATATAATTGATCACTTCATTTTTTTCCAGAGTAGAATCATGGATCAGTAAGGTTGGAAAAGACCTCCATGATCATCCAATCCAACCATCCAGATATCACCAATATTTTCCACTAACCCAAGTCCCTCAGTACAAAATCTAAATTTCTTTTGAACACCTCCAGGGTCGGTGACTCCACCACCTCCCTGGGCAGCCCATTTCAGCACCTGACCACTCTCTTGGAGGATTTCCTAACATGCAACCTGAATCTCCCCCGGCGCAACTTGAGGCCATGCATCTGTTCATTTACATGAAGTTTTAGATTTTAAGAGTGGCTCCCATTTATTTTGCCCCGCATAGAATGGTAGGTTGCTTTAGCTTTACAGCAATCCTTTTGCCTTTTTGAAGTCAATATTTGGTTCAAGTCAAGAAAACTGCAATTTGAAAATAAAATAAATAGTAGCTTATATTTCATTACAATTAAAAAAAAAAAATGGCATGATAACACTTTTCATACAGTTTCATTCTGTAAATTGCTTTTTATTTTTTTTTTTTAGCACAGTTATTTAACTACACTTTTCCTGGTGCCAGTGTTGAGAAGAAGTGAAGCTGGAGTGAGTATGTTAAATGAGACTATCAAGGAGTTGCAGGGCCACATTCAATGAGTCTGCAGACAGAAACTGTACTATCTGAGAAATACTCTTTGTCCTACAAAGGAAAAAGTGCCAGGTAGTCCATATAATAATTTGTGATTTACAGTATTTTAACTTCTGAATAGTGTTATACCTTCTAGAAGGAAGATACAAATGGTATTCTGAAATGAGAGACAGAGTCCGTAGTGCCTGTTAAATGTAATCTTAAACTTGACTATATACAAAATAACTAACCCAGAAAAATCTTTAAAAAACAAAATAACTACTATCACCCAATATTTATACATTGTTATAGTGGTTAATAATGTTTTGCAATAATGTATGTGCATCTCTGTCTTTTCAGGAATATCCTGATTGCAGGAATGATATGTGTAATGCGTCGAAACTCTCATCACTTGAAGAGTCCATTATGGAATTATATCTTTATATCTTTAACTCATGTGCAAAACCAATATGAAGAATGTTCGTGCTGCAGTTGGTTGAGAAGAACAATGCAATAGTAAGTCAAAAAGCTTTTTTTTTTTTTTTTTTTTTTTAATCCACTGATGCTTTATTCTATCTGAACTCATCACTAGGAGACATCAAAAATCTTTACAAATTGAGTTATGGAGGTAACATGATAGGGATGTGCATAGAAATCTAAGCCTTCATTTACTTATTTTTAATTAGTAAGTGCTCTATGTAGTGCAGTGAAACAAACGTGCTTGCTAGAGTTTCTCCATTTAAAGTGTTTTACGAGCAAAGTTCAGGTTTTGAAGCATTTAAGTCAATGTAATTGCCTTTGATGTCTGCTGCTTTTCATATTTTTCTCTCCAAGCTGTATTTCTCATTTTTGCTGCCTCGCTCTCCCAGTGTATTTGATCTCTTTCACCTTCAGATATATAGATATCTTTCTTAGTACTTCCAGCCTTCACCTCATCAGTAAAGCTTCAATGGACAATACTATTTGAATCAGAAATTTAACACCACCGCACCATGAAGGGCATCATCAGGTCTAACTGCACTCATAGGACAATCATGTAGATATCCACACGAGCTTTAAACTGGCTAGGTTCAGTAGCAGTGCAGGTCTAGACCACCATATGAATCAGCGTGTGTTCCTGTAATCTAGTTAGAAAGTTCTGCAGATTAGATGCACACAAAGTCTTGCAAGACCTTCTTTACACTGTCCAGTAGTTTTGAGGATCCCTGCCTTAGATCAGGATACTCAGGTTTAGGTCACTGCTGACTGAAAAACTTAATCTTTTAACATATCTGATACAAAATTAATTATACGCTTTTATATATGTGTTTTCTTTACGCTGTATTTGGAACCAGAATGGCTTTCCTTCTCTTCCAGTTAGTAGAGGTCTTCTGTGCCAGAGGAGCTTTTGATTATGATCTGGATTCACAATTCATGTAAGTGTGGAGATTAATTAAGTGAAGAAGGCATACCCCAGACATTTATAATTAACGCTTCAGTCGGGTATAAACCAGGGCTCCAAAGATGAAAGCTTAATGCTTGAATGATTTACTGAATCACACATTCCCTTTCAGCCACTGTTTTAAGGGCATGGTCTTTGCCAGCTCCACGCACATACTTTGAGAATTATTCACTTCGGAGCTTCTTGCATGATCAATTTTGCAGTATTTTTTTCCTAAGTGCCTTGGTACATGCTCATGTTTAATTCTTCAAACTTGTATCAATTCATCAGACCTGATTAAACTTTTTAGACCTGAAAGTAGATTCTTTGCATATTGAAGAATTTAATCTCATACCTAAAAGTTTCTACCTCCAGGGTTCCTCACATGAAAGTTATTCTCCACAATCTTTTCAGATGCTATTTAAATACGTTCTGGAAAACTATGATGACTTTAGGGGGCATCTAAATAAGATGGGGAAATTTACTCTGAGCCTTAATTTTTCTACTAGAAGGTGGACAAGCTTTTCCATTGCAAACTTTGAAGAACTTAGGTTTTTTTCCTTCTCAATTTCAGAGAGAATATTTGGAATCTGATCCAATACTCCCTAAGTCTAAAAGAACTGTGGGTAAGAAGAGAAGCCTGTATGGCTAAAAGCAAGCTAAAGGGGTCATTAGGAGTAAAAAGACATTGTTCAGTATGTGGAAATCCAAATGAAGAACATAGAAAAAATATAAAGCTTCTGGCAATCTTAATTTGAAGCCAAATTAAAACTAGACAAAAAAGATTCTGAGGAGCAAGGGTGTAAGACGTGATAATAAAAACTTTTTTCAAGTACATCAGAAACAGGAAGTTTGCCAGCAAATTGATGGAGCCAATATATTACTGGAATAAAAAAAGACCACTGTAGAAGTATAGGTCATTAGCAAAAAGGAGCACAAGTATCACAAGCACAGATGTTCGTTATGGAGAGGTTTGAGGAAGTTTCCCTGTTGGAGCCATACTTTGTTGAGGTCTGCCATGAGAAGCTAGATATTCCTTAAGGTCACTTCCAACCCAAACCTTTTTATGATTCTGTTCTGTTTAGTGGTTTGATAGTAACGGAGATGAGAATTAATCAAAGGGATAAGGGCTACAGTGGAAATGAGCAACTTGCACAAAAGCTCTAAGGAATCTCAAAGAGTAGACAACTATTCTTGTATCTCTGCACATAAGATAGCCTGTTTTAGGGGTGTATGACAATCTGTGTGTGATACTGCTTTTACAAAAGTCTTTTGGACAATCAGGAAAGAACAGATTTGAAGATGACTTCCATACTCCTGTAATCCTCCCTTAATGTAGTAAAAGCAAGGCAACAAAAAGAAATAAACCTAAGCTTATCAGAGAGCAAAAGAGATCAAGTTTGAGGCCCTTCTATTTTTTACAGGTAATTTAAATAAGGCAAATAGCGAGTTCTGGGAGGTCATTCATTGATGACGCTTACTGTGATGTTGGATGCATATTCATTTTGCATATAAGAATGAAGTTCTTTGAAAATATTCTGCATAGTTACTTAGATGCCATTGGATTTGAATGTTTTCCATTCTTTTTAACATAGCTCTGTGCTATGTATGGCACAGTTCTGTTTCCTGTATGCTTCAAGGCAGTTTACTTTCAAACTGTGGTAAGCTCTCAACCTGAAATGTAAGGTCGTGAGGGAGGAAAGATTCTTACAGAAGATAAACTAATTAATAGCTTTCAATAATTTGGTTAAGTTAAAAGATACATGTAGGGATCTACTTCCAAATGGCAAAGGATGAACCAAAAATACACATTTGTAAGGCAGTACTATGTCTATTTTTTTTTTTTTTACAGCAAAACAATTATTCCTATGTAATTGTTTCAAATTCAATTTAAAACTAATACTGTTTTTTTTTTTTTATCACTGCTTGGCTTTTGACAGGAAACTGCCTTCTATTCTAGTTTAAAGCCTTACCAGACCCTGAGTCTAAATCAGTCTCATGCACCGCACAGTTGGGATAAAGAGTGAAAGGGAGGAAGTAATAGTACCTGAAAATCAAATGGGGACTGTGAGACATTTCGTTGTTCATATGTCTGGAAGAAAAGCTGGTGTTCCCACTTCTCTGTAGAACTGGTCTGGCTGATTTGAGAGACAGGCCTCAGCTCTGTTCCCCATCCCTGGTACTCAAGGGAAAAATAAGGATAAAGTTTATTGTAAGTGATATTTTTGGTTAATACGTACAACGGCCACCTGGTCCCTGCCTGATCGCCAGCACAAACCAGAGCAGCCAGTTCATATCCCATTTCCCCTGCTCCTTCTGGAGCTCTGGAAAGTAACAAAAAAAAGGGTAGAGCTGTGCACATCATCTTTTCTTCAATTCCTCTTCTATTCCTCAGTTCAAAATCTGCCATCAGTGTTGGGGCCTGAAGCATAACTGTGGAAAGAGATGCTTTTCTGCCTATCTTGTGCCTCCTAAGGGGCTTCTGCATAGAATATAGTTTAATGTGGCCATTTCTGCCTTCTTTTTCATAATCAGTGATATAAACAGACTATACTCAAACTGTCCTCTGACCTATAACTTGGGAAGATCTATGTTGGTAGAGCTGCATTCAATAATAGCCCAGTCAAAGCTCTGACTACTGTGCAGTAAAATTCGTTTTATCCGTGCCATACTATGCTGTGGCTCAGAAGTATTTTGAATGTCAAGACGTTGCCAAAGATGCCTGTTGATATAAAGCAGATGCGCGCTTTTCATTCCATCACATGTTGTCTACATGAGATGGTGTTGATATTTATATATTGACTTATGACTTTCTTTCTGAGTTTGGACTTGGTTTTATTTGCAGTGCTGGAGTCTCCCTGTAGTCCTCAGCTATGGGGTAGTTTCTTCAGTGCTCAAGCTTTGATAGGGCTATCTGAATGTATAGGAAATCTCTGTAAGAAATGGTGAATAGGAATCCAGTGGTATGTAACAGGATCTCAGGCTTTTACTTACAATCCCCTAACAGACGTTATATAATATGTCTTCTGGTTGGTTGATTGGTTGTGAATTTGGGGTTTTTTGTTTGTTTTTGTTGACATTTTTCACATTTTGTATTTCTGTGCTCATTATGATGAGTATCATATAGAGTCATTTAATTCTATATAGAGTATCCATAGAGTTCAGATAAGCTGTCATGTCCTTTCTAATAATGTGAACAGCTGCCTTCAGTTTCCTTTGCTTGGATACAAAACTTTAATCCAGGTGCTATGGGAGCCAGAATTGCCAATGGCCAGACAGATACTTGAAAATACAACTAGAGGGATTAACTCGTTTACCTGAGATTACCATCAGCATATATTACTGACTTTTTTAATGAAATATTTTGTCTTATTTAAAAAAATAAAATGTATATAAAAAAGCAGGTTCTGTCCAGTACACCTCAGATACTCATTTTTCATTTATGAAAACCATTCCTATCCAGACTAATGATGTTCCTTGCTCTTATCCGTATTTGCTACTTCTGATTTTATGTCTAATTTGTAATTGTTAACACTCTGAGATAGACCTTCTTATAATACCTTTTAGCTCAAAGATAACAGTGAATTTACCCCCATTGCTTCAGATGCCACTCCACAAAATCTTCAAATGCTGTTTCAAATGGGCAAGCCAAATTAGATGTTCTGCCTTTTACTGTTCTGGGGAGAAATGTATGCCAATAAGGAAATAAATAAATAAATAAATAAATTTTTAAAAATGAAGAGAGAGACGGAAAAAAAGAAAGAAAGAAAAAGAAAAAGGAAAGAGAAACAAAAAGACGCACTCCCTCTCCCCCGCCGCCGCAGAGCAGGAGGAGCGCAGGCGCGACCCCGGCTCCGCTCGAGCGGTCAGGCAGCGCCGCTGCGCGGCTCCCGGCCGTTGCCTGCAGCGCTCTGAGCTCGGCTCGGCTCCTGGAGGCTCGCAGAGAGCTGTTGCTGCAACGCCTTGTAAAGTTTCTTACCTCTTCTGCTGGAAGCAGAATCCCTTTTAAACGCAGCGTCGTCTTTCCTCCAGAATGGGTGGGTGGCTGATCCTCAGGGAAGAATGTAAGTTAGGACCGAAGAAGCACCTTGAGAGA